TATATACTGTTGTTAAACTAGTAACTGGATTTGTATTCTACAGTGTTTTTGATTGTACTGTAAAAGGGGTTGTCATGTCTATCTTTACTTAAGTAGAATGTATATTTAATATTTCTTCACTGTTAAAAAGGTATTTAACATAAAACTATTGAATTTACCCTTTAAAGATATTCTGAAAATGGCTTGTAACATACTGTTAATATCAAGTATTAACATGTCTGATCATGCTGATCAGACAGCCATTGACCATAACCCCCCTCATTACCTTTGCTAGAAGAAGTTTGACATTAGTAACATAAGTAACTTCTGTAAGCTATTAAAATGTATCATATAAAAAGCATTTTCAGTTTGTGTATTGTAATTTGTGCAGGGAACCACAGTGTTTCCTCTCTTGACATCTGCCCTGCATGATCCCAATGAGTGGGAAAGACCGCACAGCTTTTATCCTGCTCACTTCCTGGACAAAGAGAAAAAGTTTGTCAAGCGAGATGCCTTCATTCCATTTTCTGCAGGTTTGTGAGCTCAGCCATCACTGTTTAGTTTACTTTGACTCACAAGAGAGCCAGAAATGTTTCATGAATTCTCTCTTGCAGGTCGCAGGATTTGCCTTGGAGAGAGTCTGGCCAGGATGGAGCTCTTCCTCTTCTTCACCACCCTCCTTCAACATTTTCGTTTCACTCCTGCACCTGGAGTTTCAGAAGAAGAGTTAGATCTGACTGCAGTTGTGGGCATTACTCTCAGCCCTTCACCTCACAAACTATGTGCTGTTCCCTGTATGTAAGAAGGAGGCAGTCTAAACAAAGTTGTCCTATCTTCTCAATCCTTTTATAAAAATGAGTTCTTTTGGGTAGTTTCTTGTTTGGTTGGGGTTTTTTTTTATCAGCCCTTTATTTCATTTCTACAACATTTCAATCCTCCGATTTTTATGAAAATATGAGCATATGGTTCTGTTTTTAGTTATCATAGTTACCATAGGCATATGGATCGGCCTTTACAAACTAATGAAGCCCAAATCATTGTAACCATTTGGGCTTCATTGATACGTGTATGCTTTTGCATGAGCTGGAGATGGGCACCCTTCTTTGCCAAGGTTGTTAATCTTGTCAAACTGCATGACACACTGACAGACAGAGAAGACTGAAAATGACCATTCTGCAGATCCAACATCTAGAACATGGAGAGTGGAATATGAAAACAAATCTAACCAGTTAACCGGCATTTTACGTCCCAGGGCCTAGCTAATAAGAAACAATGTAAATAGGCTGAACATTCACGTTTTCGCACAGGCTTGGATTTTTTTTCCCCTTAATAATAAAACACAGAAACTTTAGAAAATGCACTTTGTATTTACTTGTGTAAACAGCACTGCCGTTTCACTCCTGCACCTAGCATTTCAAAGGATGAACTCCAACTAGTACCCTCATTCCTTCACCTCACAAACTTGATGCTATTTCCTGCGTGTGATGAAGTTGCATTTTTTTCCAAAGTTGTCCTACCCTGACGCCTGTCAAGGAATTCAGCCTTTAGTGCTTTCTGTTTTTTTCTATTCTTTGTTATTTCATAGAAGCTCACATGAAGTGCGAAATGAAATAAACTGATTTTGAAGAACAAGACTGCCTTTTCTTCTTACCTGTAAATCTCCACCTTGTTCTTTGGTGAGAGGTCCAAATGGTCCTGTTTTATGTAGTTTAGCATCACACAAATGGATCATATACTAGTATAGAGACATATGAGAGGAATGAAGTGATTTATTTTGAAAGTGTTTTAATGCAGATATGCTCATCCTCCATCAGGGAAGTAACAACAAGACAAGAGACAAGTTTTTTTGGGGTTTTTTTTGTCATAGTGTACCTGTCCATGGTTAACGTTTTTATTTAAAGAATATTCATTTCAAAAACAATTCAATTCAAAGCAATGTTCAACTTTGAGATATGAGATCTTTTATAAATATTCATGACATATTTTTATGCAGTATCTATAATTTGAAGAAAGTATCTGTCGTTATTGTAGTGTTAGAAATTCTGTTAAAACAGTAAGACATAATTTGATGTACCAAATGCCATTTGAAATGTGATGTCTGTTAACTGAAAAAGAGCGAAATCTAGGTTGCTTGGGTTTAGTTACTTTCTTGCAATCATTGGGGTGACCACACAGGTGTACAAGCACACAGGAAAATACTATGGAGATTTAAAAAGAAAGCTATGTCCTAAACTGTAACAGCTTAACTCTATATTGTATTTATTTCTTATAATTTAATACAAACTTAGGTTTTGTGATTTAAATAAAAATAAAAAGTATTTATATAT